CCGAGAAGCACGCTAGTCCATGTTGTGGCTAAATAGGCAGTGGTGTTTAACCACGGAGAGATTGACCACGATGTGTCTGTGGGATGGCACGGTTATATCGAATCGTGGGTGATCAGTTTGTTACCAGCTGAATAAAAGGAAGAGCAGAAAATATGCAGACGGTTGTGAGTCACAGAATCCTCTGCACTTAATGTATTCGTGCGTGTCTTCTTTCTCCTTTACTTTCTCGCGTGACCTCCTGTATGTGTTCATTCAGTACTTGATCTAACACGTAGCCCACCTCGCTGCTGCATGCGCGCACATCAACGCCGATGGCTGGCCGGTCCATTCGGTCCACTTGGTCTGGCCCGGGTTTCGCCGTCGCCGGTCTGGTCCCTAAAAGTAGGACCGTTCGGTTGCTCGGTCCGGACCACCGGCGGTCAGTCCAAACGACGGCTCGGTCCAAACGACGTCTCGGTCAGGGACCGGATCGGACCGGACCGTGTCCACCCTGAGTTCTGGGCAAGGGGAGGACCGGCTGGGCGCGCTGACCGACGACATCCTTCTCTGCGTCTTGGGAAGGGTGGACCTCGCGACGGCGGCGAGGACCAGCGCTCTGTCGACGCGCTGGAGGACCAGCGCTTCTATCAACGCCGCCTCTATCGCCGTTCCCCTTCTTCCCCGGCCAACGACCGCTGGGACATCGAGCTGCCCCGTCCAGTGTTTGGCCATTGGGTCTCCTTCCATACTTCCTTCCTCCGAGGTAAGGGCATCTAGGTTGTTTCTTCTCATGCACCGCAGCTTCAATACTCTTTGTTGTTGGACTTAAATCAATCAATCCCACTAGGTCGGGCATACATCTAGATCCGCCGCCCCTGTATTTGTATTCCATGGTCCATGGAGACTGTACATAGTACTACATGAATCATGGCGGTGGCACGACGGCTACTTCTTGTAAGATTCCATCTCGGAGTAACAGGACCTAATCGCCTCCGGGTTCCAATTCGTGTTCTAGTCGGACCGCCTCCGCCCTCCCTTTCAGTAAAGACGACAGCTTTGCCTCATGGCATCCTCGGTTCCGAGCTTATTATTATCGTCCATGGAGCAGAATAATGTGCGCCACCCCTGTGTAAGCTCTTGCTAGCTTCTCTTCTTTTGGGCGTTCAAATCAACTATTCATGAATGATCTCCTCTTGTTGCAGATGCCACAAGGGGAAGATAGGCTGGGTGCGCTGACTGACGACATCCTGCTCTCCATCTTGGGGAATGTCGACCTTGCGACGGCGGCAGGGACCAGCGCTCTGTCGACGACGCCTGCCATGGCTGCTCCCCGAGCTTAAACTCCATGTCAGGGATTTCCTGCCCGCGCCATGCCCAGATTACCCTGTTGCTGCTGCGCAGAGGATATATTTTTATTCCCAAATACCAGCACAACACATAGATGAAGCAATAGCATCACTGACAAGAGCTGCTAGGAGTTTCTTGCGCATCAAGCGCAGCAGCAGAGTCTCAAGAATGTCGCTTGAGATCTACATGGTTGGCAACTACTCGCATGACATTGGCCCATTGGTCCGTGACGCCATCGACAACGGCATGATAAAAGAACTGGACCTAACCATTGCGGACGACAAGGATTACAATTGCAAAGGTGTGGATATGCTACAGAAAGCACAGGATGTAGACGGGTTCTTCAGCGCCTATCCTAATATACTTCCTTGCCTCACAAGGCTCCAGCTTTACAACCTGCGCTTTGCTGAGGGAGATATACATCACATCCTATTTGATTGCTGCAAGCAGCTGCAGCACCTTAGTCTGGAACACTGTGATGTTGGCGACTGCTCGGTGTGGCAGGTAGACGCGCCGAATTCGGTCCTCAGGGTTCTTGAAATCCGCTATTCCTACTTGAAGAGGCTCAAGGTGCTCTGCCTTCCCAAACTAGAGCTGCTCAGTTGGGAGGCGTGGGTGCACTGTGAGCCCCCCTTGCATTTTGGTTATGTCCCGTCTCTTAAGGAGTTAATCCTCTTATGTGCTGCAAAGCTTGATCACCCGGAGTTTAGTTTAAGCCAGCTTCTAGATGGTGCCACAGAAATCAATACCCTGACCTTAAACTTCCAAGGAGAAAAGGTAATTTCATACTATTTCAGTATATATTGTGTGATGTGCTTCTAATTTCTACGAATTTTGAAGTTATGGGGTTAATTAGGACCATATGAGCTGTTCTTTTGTTTTGCTTTTTCATGTCTTGATCAAGATATTTGCTTTTATTTATTTTTGCTAGGAAGCTTTTCGTTGATTTTTCTTTCTTTGTTTGTTTATTCACCAGCTTTGGATCCAACCGGAAAGCAGGCAACTCCGTGCCGCATTCAGCAAGCTAAGGAAGCTGTCTATTCATGGCATATATGTTGAGTTTGACCTGTTATGGACAATAAATCTCCTTGAAGCTGCTCCAACCGTTGAGATATTTGATATTGAGGTACTAATTTTACTTATTCCTTTCTCGTTTGTTAGTTCAATAGATTTAGGCGTTTCCTTCCTGGTTGTTGATATCATCGCATAATAGAATTCAGATAGGATCTCCTGGGAATCCTAGCTACTATATATACTTTATGTAATTATTAGGTCTTGGTTGGATACAGGTGTATGAACATCCATGTATGGTACCATATTGGGTGCGCGTTGGCGTTCAAAGAGTGCAACCTTCATGGAAGACGCCTGGGTTTACAAGCTGTAAGAAGTGGCAACTGAGAGAGCTCTATGTTACCAACTTTAGTTTCCTCGTGGGGCAACATGTGTTATTTGTACGCGAGGTGATGGATCGAGCGCCAAACTTGAAAACTGTTATTTTGAAGGAAGATGAAGAAGCATGCAAGGATTGTGAGGCAATGGGCGCACTGCCTACTCCGGTAGGAGGCTTGTTTCCGAGGACCAAAAAGGAGCAAGAAACAATAGCCCAGCAACTTAGGGACAACATGGTCAGCTCGTCCTCGGCACAGATAATTTTCAAAAGTATTGTTTCAACGGTGGTATTCTGAACTTATGTATGTCTGAATGCAAGTGCAAGAAGTAAACGAAAATGTAACATACAGGCTTTTTATTGTGGGGTTTGTTATAATTTTCTACTGTTAGGGTTGTTGTAAACGCGAATGCATCAACTTTAGCAGTTGCAATCAATTTATTTTGGGCGAGGCAGCTCCAGCAAATTTGAATTATCGGACACAGAAATCCTATGAGTAATCTGCCATTCTCTGGTTTCGGGCAAACGTTTTTCTTTTGAAATAGAAAATCAAAAAGAAAAGTTACACGTAATCCAAGTTAAGATTACAACAGAAAATCGAAAAGTGACATAGCTGATTTGCGATAAATAGCTAATTTAAAGTTCAACTGAGCAGCAAGCACCCTGTATAGATATGCTTTTCTAACACTCCTTGTCGCACACAAGGAAGCCTGAAACCGTGGTATTCGGAAGATGATTGCCATTACGTCCTGGTATTTGTGATGGGAAAGGCGCAAACTAGTGCATAAAGAGAGCATTCAAGATGTCAAACAAATTTCAATGTGGATACAAGCTCTTACGATTAATTATGTTGCTGCTTCCTCTCCAAAGGCTACTATGGAAAGGGGGTTGGGTTCGCCCGGGGGGATTTGTAAACCTTAATTTTGATGCTTCTTTTGATCATGATCTTCTTAAGACAAACATTGTTTAAATATTCACTGAGTTCGCGATAAAAAGAACTCGGCAGTATTAAAGATTGTCGGGTCCCGTCCAGCCTTGAGTGATCCAGTTCTTGGAGGATTTAGGTGTTGAGACTTTCAGCGTTTCTGGAGGATTTTCTACCCTGAAATAGTCCCACCGTTCCAATGATTTGAGACATAAATTTGTCCTAAAGTCAGAAATTTCTAAGTTTGAACGTGTTTCTAGATAAAAATGTTGATATCTAGAATGTTGAATAAATCCATTATAAATATATTTCATAAGGAATAGAATGATGTTCTTTTGATAGATATAGATATTTTTTCTATAAAAACTTGTTCAAGCATAGAAAATGTTGGCTTAGATAAAGCTTACATGACTTATATTTTACTGGGGGAGTAGTCTTTACCTCGATATTTCACTCTAGTTTTTACCTCAATATTTCTTTAACTTTTAGGATTTCTGTGTCCTGAATAATTCAAATTTGCAGGAGCCGCCTCGCCTAAAAATGAATTGATGCTACTGCTAATGTTGATGCATTGGCGTTTACAGGAATGCTTACTTTAAACAGTAGAAAATAGAACTAGCAAGCCTGCATATTACAATTTCATTTACTACTAGCACTTGCATTGGACATACATACAAGTTCAGAGTACCACTGTTGAAGTAATACTTTTGAAAATTATCTTGACCGAGGAGCCGACCATGTTGTCCCTAAGTTGCTGTGCTAGTGTTTCTTGCTCATTTTTGGTCCTTGGAAACAAGCCTCCTACCGGATTAGGCAGTGGACCCATTGCCTCGCAATCCTCGCATGGTTCTTCGTCTTCTTTCAAAATAACAGTTTTCAAGTTTGGCGCTCGATCCATCACCTCGCGAACAAATAACATATGTAGCTCCATGAGGGGACTAAAGTTGGTGATGTGGAGCTCTCTCAGTTGCCACTTATTACAGTTTGTGAACCCAGGCATCTTCCATGAAGGTTGCACTCTTTCAATGCCAACGTGCTCCCAATGCAGTACTAGACATGGATGTTCAAACACCTGTATCCAACAACCAAGACCTAATAATTACACAAAGCATATATAGCAAGATTCCCGGGAGATCCTATTCAGAATTCTGTCATGCCATGATATCAATAACCAGGAAGGAAATGCATAAATCTATTCAACTAACAATCGAGAAAAGAATCAAGTAAAATTAGTACCTCAATGTCGAATATCTCAACTGTTGGAGCAGCTTCAAGGAGATTTATTGTCCATAACAGGTCAAACTCAACATATATGCCATGAATAGACAGCTTCCTTAGCTTGTTGAATGCAGCGCGGAGTTGCTTGCTTTCAGGCTGGATCCAAAGCTGGTGAACAGACAAATAAAGGAAAAAAATTAACGAAACATTCCTAGCAATAAAAAAGAAAAGCAAATATCTTGATCAAGACATGAAACAGCAAAAAACTAAAAAACAGTGTGTACGGTCCTAATTAACCCCGTAAGTTCAAAATTCCTACTGATGAAATTAGAAGCACGTCCCACAATATATACTGAAATGATAGCTTGTAAACTGTTTATCGTGCTGTTTTTCTGTTTTTTTGTTTCCCATATGTACATACTTTTTTTGATCCAAAGGGGTTGCCCCCCGCCCCATTTTTACTAAAAATGAGCACATCATAACCACAACGTTTTACAGCGCTCAGGCTGGGTCAGAGTAGCTAAGCCGGAAAACTAACCCCCTAGATCCAACCATGCAGCGCTCAGGGAGAAACAGAAAGCAGGTTTTAGAAAAGACACTAGGCCACAAAGCTATGGAAATTTTGGGCACAACGGTGGTGCTTGCCTGCCTAGCCGGAATGTGCCCTGAGCACAAAGCTGCCCTGACCACTCCCCACTCCCCATATTTACATACTCTCGTCCTTTTCGAAATAAAAGGCATGGTAGGGGCCTTCCCTACTGTTTTTCTCTCTCAAAAAAGACGACATGAAACAGGAAGAAGAAAAAACAGCGTGTACGGTTCTAATTAACCCTGTAACTTCAAAATTCCTACTGATTAAATTAGAACTGCATCGCACAATATATACTGCAATTGTATGAAATTACCTTTTCTCCCTGGAAGTTTAAGGTCAGGGTATCAATTTCTGTGGCACCATCTAAAAGCTGGCTTAAACTAAATCCCGAGTGATCAAGGTGTGCACCACATAGGAGGAATAACTCCTTAAGAGATGGGACAGAACCAAAATGCAAGGGGGCCTCACAGTGCATCCAGGCCTGCCAACTGAGCCGCTCTAGTTTGGGAAGGCAGAGCACCTCTTCAAGTAGGAATAGCGGACTTCAAGAACCCTGAGAGACGAATTCGGCGCGTCTATCTGCCACACTGAGCAGTCCCCAGCATCACAGTGGTCCAGACTAAGGTGCTGCAGCTGCTTGCAGCAATCAAATATGACGTTATGTATATCCCCCTCAGCAAAGCGCAGGTTGTACAGCTGGAGCCTTGTGAGGCAAGGAAGCATATTAGGATAGGCGCTGAAGAACCCGTCCACGCCCCGTGCTTTTTGTAGCATATCTGCACCTTTGCACTTGTAATCCTTGTCGTCCGCAATGATGAGGTCCAGTCCTTTTACCATGCCGTTGTCAATGGCGTCACGGATCAATGGGCCAATGTCATGTGAGTAGTTGCCAACCAGGTAGATCTCAAGGGACATTCTTGAGACTCTGCTGCTGCGTTTGATGCGCAAGAAACTCCTAGCAGCTCTTGTCAGCGATGCCATTGCTTGATCTATGTGTTGGGCTGGTATTTGAGAATAAAAATATAACTTCTGCTCAGCAGCAATAGGGTAATCTGGGCATGGGGCAGGCAGAAAATCTCTGACATGGAGGTTAAGGTCGGGGAGCAGCCATGGCAGGCTCCTCCAGCGCGTCGACAGAGCGCTGGTCCTTGCCGCCGTCGCAAGGTCCACCCTCCCCAAGATGGAGAGCAGGATGTCATCAGTCAGGGCGCCCAGCCTATCTTCCCCTCGTGGCATCTGCGACAAGACGACATCATCCATGAATATTTGATTTGATTTCTTTTATTTTTGCGGAAGAAACTTCCAATCTATTTATCATCTGTCATGAATATTTGATTTGAATTGAAACCACAAAAGAAGATAAGCTAGCAAGAGCTCACGCAGCGGCAGCACACATTATTCTGCTCCATGGACGGCATCGGTTTTGCTAAAACAAATCTAGATGCGCCCTAAGTATTGCACATCTAAGTCATATGCCATTGATATTGCGCAGAGATTAGTGCAGCTATTTTCCTTTTCCTTTTTCTTTTCATTTTTTATGTTTGATTGAGTAATTGAGATGTGAAATAACTAGGGCATAATGATAAAAATATACTCGGAACCGAGGACGCGGTGAATCACGTATGTGCAGTCTCCATGGCAATACATGGGCGGCGGATCTAGATGTATGTCCGACCTAGTGGGATTGATTGATTTAAGTCCAACAACCTAGCTGCGTTGCATGACAAGACGACCTAGCTGCTCGTACTCCCTCCGGTCCTTTTTACTCTGCATATTAGAATTCTCTGAAGTCAAACTTCACAAAGTTTGACCGTATTTATATGAAAAAATATCAACATCTGCCATGCTAAAGTTAATACAATATGAAACTTTAAGTCATGACACATCTATTGATATTGATTTCAGATTGTGAATGTTAGTACTTTTTTCTATAAAGTTGGTCAAACTTTACGAGGATTGACTTTAGTCAAATCTTATATGCGAACTAAAAAGGACCGGAGGGAGTACCTCAGAGGAAGGAAGTCCCGGCGGCTGAGGAAGAAGGGGAACGGCGATGGCGGCGGTGATGATAGATGCCGGATTGTGGCAGCGGCGGCGGCGCGCGCCCCCGAGATTTTGGATTGAGACCAAGGTATGGTACGGTGGCAGCTGTAGGTAGATCCGCCGCGTCGCGTTGGGAGGAACTCTGCAGGGGAAAGGGGAGGAAGGAGGAAGAGGGGAGGGTGCGTGGCGTCGGTCGACTGGTTGCAGTCCCTGATCGGTCGTGTTGCCGGCCCCACGATTCTTTGTACGTGCACTGTTAGATCTCTCCCTCCATCTTCCTTCCAACCCTCTCACCTCCTTGCAAAAAGGGCGATGCTAGGCGCCGGCGCACCGGCCGGACGCTTCGGCCGGTCCAACCCTAGCCGTCAGATCGGCCTGTTCCGATCCGTTGGATCCTTATCCAACCAGGGGCGTCGTCTTCCTCTCGCGAGCGCGGACGGGGAAAGGAACCCCGTCTAGCCGTCCGTCTTCGCCGGCCGCCCCACGCTCCAGCACTCAGCTCGCCCCGCCCGCTCGCCGCCCTGGCCGCCGGTTGGAGCTGACCGCTCGCCGCCTCGGCCGCCCGTCGGAGCGCCATGGATGCAGCTCCGCGACTCAACTCGTCCAAGTCCGCTCGCCGCCCCGGCCACCCGTCGGGGCCGCCCCGTGCTCCGGGACTCAGCTCGCCCCGACCGCTCGCTGCCCCCGCTGCTCGTCGGAGTGCCATGGATGCAGCTCCGCCTCACCGATGATTGGTTCTAGCAAAAAACAGAGATGCCCCGTGATAGCATTTTCCCGTGTCAGTCGTAGCAAATGAAGACAACGGTTGCAGAAAAAAAGATCCATCGGCGTCGCCATTGTAGCAAACATGTTAATCGGATGTAGCAAAACACATCGCCAATGGTAGCAAAAAATGAGGTTGTTGCAACAAAAAATGTTCGTCCTCGTCGTCGCCGGTCACACCTCAGTCGCAAAAAAGTACCATGGCCGCATGAATGGATGTAGCAAAAACACACAGACGGTAGTCGCAAAAAAATGACACGGTTGTAGCTTCTCCCCTCTACGGTGGAAGCTTTTCTATAAACGATTGAAACTTTTTTCGTTTTGAGCAGCGCCTGGTGAAAAATTCATCTCTCATTCGGTTGAAGCTTTTTTCATCGAAGGTTGTAGCATTTTCCATCGAAGGTTGTAGCATGGTTCTATTTTTGAGATTGTAAAAATAAAGATAAAAATGAGTATTAGAAAATTAATAGTATTAAGTTCATAAGGAATAACAAAACCTTAACTGGAGATTTTAGTTCCATAAGATTTAATATGAATTAATATAAATTGGAAGTACCAATTAAATTTGATTTACCCATCCAATTGCATTATATAATTTTGGAACTAGGCATATTAAAATAATATGCATATGTGATTTTTCCTACAATATTTAGATTTAGATTTTTATTGTTTGGAGAAATTTTATTTTTCAGTAATCAGTAGTAAATGAATTCAAAATTTATTTACTATATTATTTTTCTCTTCTAAATTTGTTGGCACTGACTTGACCCAAGGACGTTGTATACAAGAGGATGTTGGACATAAAATTAACTTAGCACCACCATCAAATTCACAACTCGACCATTGTATATGGGAGATTGTTGGACAAAACCACACCATAAAAACATTCACGGATATGTAACTCAGAAGCAGGAACTAAACCATTTTTGGGTTATTACAATGGAACAGTTCACCACATATGTGGTTTGATATGCGGCCACTTGAGCTTGAAGTGTTCAACAGATCCAAGGCATGTTTGGGAGCTTGCAGTTCTAGGGGCAGAACAATGACACAGATGAAGACAAGAGCAGTCTATAGGTGGGTCATCATCGGAGATGGGAGGTGGAACAAGCGGTGACTCCTTGCCGTCGGGTGGCGGACGACATCAAGCGGGGCGATGATTGACAGTAGAACAGTGATGCACCTGGAGGGGGTGTATTGGTGAAGTTGCATTTAGTACCCATGTGTGGTTTTGGTAACTAATGGCAATTCCTATGGACATGCTTGTCATTGAGATGCATTTGAAGGAAAATTCCAAAGGAAATGCATCAAAATTATTGTGTGGATTGATGAAAGCCATCAAGATAAACCAAGATATGCATTAAGATCACGGAGTTCTAGTGATGAATATTATATAAGCAAGGAAATGGACTCCAAGGTATCAAGCTTAAGTTATGTGGTTGAATCAATAATCAAGATGTAGTCCATGTGATGTACACGATATGATCAAGATGGAATTTATTGAAGGAACTCAACGACATGCTTAGGCTTATGAGTTCAGTCATGATGGATCAAGATCTTGAGAGAATGATTTAAGAGAAGAATTGTATATATGTCTTGAAGATGAGATTATGATGAACCCATATGTTGAGTGATGGTTGATCAAGTTATGAAGCAAGTAATTCAAGTGAAGTATCCTAAATCGAAGACCTCAATTGATTGGGAGTTACGGAGCAGTTTATCACACCTACATGGTGTTGTTCACATCACACATGGTTTCAGGCTTCCTTGTGCGATGAGGGATCTTAAAATGGACCATATCTATACTAGTGTGTGCTTGCTACTCTGTTGAACTTCAAATTAGCCGTTCATCGCATATCACTTTTTGATTTTCTGTTGTGAATTCAACGTGGACTACATGAACATTTTCTTTTTCATGAACATGAACAAATGTGGATTTTAAACAAGTTACTCTCGTCTCAACGTTTCTTGTCCTCAACTAGGAAAATGGGAGAGTATTCAAAAAGAATTTGTTGAGTTGCACACATATGTGCCCAAGCAGACTTGTCACGCGCATACATACTGATGCTTTCTTCGTCAAAACCAGCAAATCCAAAATTTGAGATTGGCAAAGACAGGTTGTAGAGAATATCCGGTTCGCTCAAAGTAAGGAAGAAACTGAAAATTTTGACCATCGTCAGCTCATGTCACAGTTTGTTGCCGAGAATGTGAGCATTTCTTCAGTATTTTTAAAAAACAAGTGTGAAGATAATTTTGTGCTGTGATTGGAGAAAATCATGTCACGAAGTTGCCTGTTGAAACGATGTCGTATGAATCCAAGTGTTTGGCTGTCTATATCCAAACAATGTCACATACAACTCTTTCGACACGACGTCCTTCAAATTCAGCGATACACTCCATTGACCCTACAGTGCACCCTTGAAATTCAAAATAGATTTGAATAAAATTTAAATTTGGTCAGAGATAATTTGAACCCAATAAAATTCTAGACGACTTATGGAATTTCTGAATTTTGAATCTATTGGGCGATACCTATACACATGTTGCCTGCGACGTGGGGCCAGGGACGAATATTTTTTGTTGGAATCATGATCGAACATCCTTGTTGACAGCCAACCAAGAACCAGGCCGCGGCTGCCAAGGAGAAGGGCTCCGGCAACGGCGTGGCCGGGCCGGTGATCGGCATCGACCTGGGCACGACCTACTCGTGCGTGGCCGTGTACCGGAACGGCCGGGTGGAGATCATCGCCAACGACCAGGGCAACCGCATCACCCCCTCCTGGGTCGCCTTCACCCACTCCGGCGAGCGCCTCATCGGCGAGGCCGCCAAGAACCAGGCCGCCGTCAACCCGCTCCGCACCGTCTACGACGCCAAGCGACTCATCGGCCGTAACTTTGTCGACGCCGAGGTGCAGCGGGACATGAAGCTGCTGCCGTTCAAGGTGGTGGACAAGAACGGGAAGCCGCACGTCGAGGTGGAGGTGAAGGCCGGCGACGTGCGGACGCTCAGCCCGGAGGAGGTGAGCGCGACGGTGCTCACCAGGATGAAGGAGACGGCCGAGGCGTATCTCGGCGAGAAGGTCCGGGACGCCATGATCACCATCCCGGCCTACTTCAACGACGCGCAGCGCCAGGCCACCAAGGACGCCGGCGCCATCGCCGGCCTCAACGTCGTCCGCGGTCCGCCTCACCAACGAGCCCACCGCCGCCGCCATCGCCTATGGGCTGGACAAGGTGGCCGACGGCAAGGAGCGGAACGTGCTCGTGTTCGACCTCGGCGGCGGCACCTTCAACGTCAGCGTGCTCGCGCTCGACGGCGGTGTCTTCGAGGTCATCGCCACCAACGGCGACACCCATCTTGGAGGCGAGGACTTCGACCAGCGCGTCATGGACCACTTCATCCGGCTCGTCAAGCGGAAGCACGGCGTCGACATCTCCGGCGACGCGCGCGCGCTCGGCAAGCTCCGCCGCGAGTGCGAGCGCGCCAAGCGGGCGCTCAGCACCCAGCTCCAGGTCCGCGTTGAGGTAGAGTCGCTGGCCGACGGCGTCGACCTTTCGGAGCCGCTCACCCGGGCCCGCTTCGAGGAGCTCAACGCCGACCTCTTCCGCAAGGTCATGGCGCCCGTGAAGAAGGCCATGGCGGACGCCGGGCTGGCCAAGGGCGACGTCGACGAGGTCGTTCTGGTCGGTGGCAGCACGAGGATTCCCAAGGTGCAGCAGCTCCTCCGCGACTACTTCGGCGGCAAGGAGCCCCACAAGGGCGTCAACCCCGACGAGGCCGTGGCCTACGGCGCGGCGGTGCAGGGCGGCATCGTGCGCGGCGACGCCAAGGAGGTTGTGGTGCTGGACGTGACGCCGCTGACGCTGGGCATCGAGACGGCCGGCGGCGTGATGGCGAGCGTGATCCCCCGGAACACGCCGATCCCGACCAAGAGGGCCAAGATGTTCACCACGTACGAGGACAGGCAGACACGGTGACCATCACGGTGTTCGAGGGCGAACGGAGCATGACCAAGGACAACCGGCTGCTGGGCAAGTTCGACCTCACCGGGATTGCGCCGGCGCCGAGGGGCACGCCGCAGATCGAGGTGACCCTGGAGGTGGACGTGAACGGCATCCTGCACGTGGGGGCGGCGGACAAGGGCACCGGCCAGTCGGAGAAGATCGAGATCAGCAGCGCTGGCCGTAGCATCACGCCGGAGGAGATCGAGCGGATGGTGCAGGAGGCCGAGGAGTTCGCCGCGGAGGACAGGAAGGTGAGGGACAAGGTGGACGCGCGGAACAAGCTGGAGGCCTACGTTTACAGCGCCCGGACGACGGCCGACGGCGAGCTGGGGGCCAAGATGGACGGCGGCGACCGGGAAAGGGTCAAGGAGGCGACGAGGGAGGCTAGCGAGTGGCTCGAGGCCAACCCGGACGCCGACAAGGACGACTACACGGAGAAGCTCAAGGAGCTGAAGGATGTCTGCAGCCCCGCCTTCGCCGCCGCCTACGGGAACACTGGCGGTGGCCATGATGACGCCGCCGAGGACCATGACCACGACGAGCTCTAAGATTTTACTAGTGGTTGCTGTTCATAGCTTAGTACGATTATTAGGACTGAACTACGTACCGACTGACCAACGCCCAAAGTCATAAATAAATCTACATCGTGCATTGTTTGGCAAGAAATTCATTGTGCATATATTGTCGATTTTCCGAAAATTCCTAATATTAATATGGGAAACGTTTCGAGCCGGTGCGCCGGCTTCGGCCGGCCGCGTGCGTAGCGATTCGATTGCGTCTAATCTCCTGGCACATTCTCCCCCACCCATCCCTACAAACCGCTAGGCCTCTTCCTTATCTCTTTTGCCTAGTCAATGGCTCAACGCACACAAGCATCTCCTTTTCCCCAAATCAAACACGGCCAACGCTGCTCCGGCGAGGGCCGCCCTCCACCTGCCCCCGCGCTACTCCGGCGAACGTACGCCCTTCACCTGCCCCACGCTGCTCCGGCAAGCAGCCACTCCAAACCACGTCCGCACTGCTCCGACGAGCGACACCCCCCACCTACCTGGAACAGCGCCTACATGCTACAAGCGGACGAGATGCTGGAACCTGCCTCGACGGGATCTGCAATCTGCCACAATTTTGGCTACAACTAGTTTGTTGTTTTGCTGGAATCAAAAACTTTTTTGCTATGATCCGTAATTAGGCTGCTTTTTTGCTGGAATCAGTCTAAATTTTTGCTACCATTATCTCTTGTTTTTGCTACCACTGTCCTTCTGATTTTTGCACCACGCCCTTGAAATTTTTTGCTGGAACAACTACAAATTTTTGCTACAACCGTCTTCGCTGTTGCTACCATCCCGTCTTTGATTTTATTTTGCTTCGATCCATTTTTTTTTTGCTGGAACCACTCAAAAATTTGTTACCACCCCCTTCTGATTTTTGCTACCACCCCCTTCTGATTTTTTGCTGGATCCATATTTTTGCTGGAACCAACCACAGTATTTGTCGCGACAGTTGAGAGCAGCTGGGATCAGCATCTATAGAAGCTGGAACCTGCGATTTGTTTTGCTACATCAAGGGAGTGGTACAGGGCGAAGTGGTGTCGCTCATTTTTTTTGCTACATCGGGGATTCTGAAAAGCTACAAACGCCGGGCTGTTTTGCTACAACGGCGACATGTGGAATTGGGTTACCCAGGGAAGAAGACGACGGCGGTGCCTGCAGCATGCACCCTGCGACGAGCTCGACGGCGAGGATGGAGGGGGTGGGGGTGGCGCACCAGATGCTACAACCGCGGGGCGGGGAGCTTCAACCGCTGCCAACGGAGGCTCCATGTCAGCCATGGCCAAGCTTGGCGGGTATCCGACCATGACGGAGTTGCGAACGAGGGAGATGGTTGGGAGGGGCAGCGACGCGCGGGGGGGACCCGTCAAGCTGGGTCGGTGGCGCTCTCTGTTACAACCGTGCGAGGGATCCGGCTAGCTCGGGGGCGATGCTCCGGCTGCAGCGCTCGCAGGGGGATTTGGTGTGTGAGATCCCTTTGGTGTGTATGAGAGAAGGAAGGGGATGAGATCAGATGGTTCGTAGCGCTCGAATCCGAGGGTTGTCGCGCGACCGGCCAAACTATTGGGCCGGTGCGCGGGCGCCTAGTACTCGCCAATCCACACGGCAGCTATATGCACGTTGACTGAATTTTCATATTGGGTTAAGTTTACTGAATTTTCATATTGGGTAAGTGGATTTCATGGGGAGAGAAATGGTTGGAGGAAGAAAGCTGGAGGTAGAAGAATGAAGGGCCGCCGTTGGATCCTTATTTAGTCCGCTGGCATAATAAGGATTGAACTACGTACTGATTGACCAGTCATATAAAACTTATTATAATAGTCCTCCGGCCCTTTTTACTCCATGTATTAGATTTGTGTCAAGTCAACCAAGTTTATATCAATCGATATCAACTTCTCTACAATGTCAACTATGTACACTATGATACACTATGAAACTATATTTTATAATGAATCTAACATTATTGATTTGACATTTTGAATGTTGACACTTTTTGCTATAAGTTTGATTAAATTAGAGATACTTTGAGTCTGGACAAAACTTATATGTAGACTAAAAGGGACCGGAAGGAACATCGTGCATTGTTCCGCTAGATAACATAGCTCATTTCTCATATTATCGATTTTTTAAAAAAAATCCAATATTAATTCTACAAAAACATAGTACTATTTAATTTCTAGTAGGAACATGGGCGAAGTACGTCCCAGATGAACAAGACCTCAAAGAAAATTCTGAAAATCAGAGAGAAATTTGAATGCCTAGCAGGAGAATTAACAATGAGAGAATGCATATTCACAATTTTCGGCCGCGGGACCTGATATTCATATATGTTTCCGGCCAAACCGTTGGCGTGCACCATAAACACACACTAACAGTGTAAACCGTATAAGCGAACTACAAGATGTCTACCCTGTACTGAGATATCTTTCGACGTTTTGGCAACAGCCTATGTATTCAAAGAGGTCTCATCTGGTTCATTCAGCTAATCGTTCGAGGAGCACGGTATGTTTCTTAGTCAACGTATTGCCTGAGCTAACTGTGCGATATCAGTTTGCTGGCTTCAGGAACGGCCAGGCCGAGGAGCAGAGGTCAGGTGCGGTGTTCCCGTCGCCGTCCTTAATCTGGAGATCAGCATGGTGCTTCACAAGAAGTTGGGCGATGTCTTCCTTCTCACGACGGACAGCATAATGAAGTGGTGTCTGACCTTGATTGTCCTGGATATGGAAAGAGAGAAGCAAGGTTCAGTTCACATAGCTCAGAGAAATTTGAATGCAAACCCATCTGCATTTGGTGCAGTTTGTGATGCAAACCCAGTAAAAATACTTGGTTCAGAATTACCACCGGCTTCTTTTGCTCAAATACACTCACACAATGAGTAAAGGGCATAGAAAAATCAAATACCTGAGCATTGACGTCTGCATTTGAACTGACAAGAAGCTCAACAGCACCTAGGTGACCATTGTCCACAGCCAAGTGCAAAGGAGTTCTTTTTCTGCTATCTGAAACCAAATTATGTCTAAATGAGTCATGCTCTCCATATGCTTTTTAAGATCTTCAATTTCTCCTTCCTTTGCAGAAACATGTATCTCGCCAAGTTCTCTGCAGGTACAAATAAGTTCATTGTAATCCTAGAAACAATAGTTCAGGTGAAATACTCAATGGATGAAATAAATAATTAAAGCTTATTAGCACCAGGATGGAGATAACTAACTGCATACCAAATAATGAAACACCTCACTTTTATTTGCTATGTTCTATCAGTTAGCAACAGAAATGGACTTACAGTTCATTTGTTTTCGATGCAGGTCCTGGCCCCTTCGGACCTGATGCAGACGCACTGGTTTCCACATCTTTCATTCTCTGGAATCATGTCGAACAGGTTATCAAACAGAGCCAACACTGTGGTGTGCATTCCTGTAAAGATGGTAGCAAGCGGTGTGGCTAACGAGGACTTATAAAACTTACTGTAACATATAAGCATGGGCCCAGCCGGGGTAGAACTGACGGGCAGCGGTGATGTACTCGTTCATACACTACTAGAGAAAAGCTTACGAGTAGCGCTTGTTTTTGTGCTACCAGTAGCGCAGGTACCAGCGCTACTGCTACGACGCTACAGCTATTTTCTAGCAGTAGCGTGTTTATAGACCATCGCTACTGGTAAGTTCAACTACTAGTAGCGTGTTTTTAGGCCAGCGCTATTGCTAACATTTATGTTTTCTTTTTAATATTTTGGCGTTGTACATGTTTAAATAGATATATCTTTTATACAATAACAACTCATCATGAACTAGTCTATTTAAATAGCATATTCATTACCAGTAGTCATCACCATCAAACAATGTTCGTCATGAGACATCATATATATAACAAGTTGGTCACTAGTCATAATCACAACTCCTCATCCTCCTCATCAACTCTAACACATTATAGCACATAATAACACATTCTACCTAGGACCTACTCCTCTTATAGGACCTACTCTACCCTCTCTTAGGTAAAATATCATAAAACAAGATAGGCATTGACTCTTCATTAAGCAAACTGGACTCTCCATAATGAAGAACAGAGATCATCCTGTCTCCAAGTCTTGGCCTACGCACAATGTTGCTTCCAAGTAGCTCTCTACGATGGTTGAAACATTTTTTCCAATCATTTATTATCATGGCTTCCTCGCTTTTAGAAATCCAGTATGGACAGGAGTGATGTGGATACTGTGGCTGACCTGGCCGTGGTGGCCGTAGGCTCATAACTTCAACACGACCTCTTGGCAACATCAGATGAGGCACACAATCCATCGGGATTTTCTGTTCAAAAACATAGTAATAACTTTGTAGTTAGCAATGTTCAAAGATGCACGGATGTCGTAATAGTAGAAAATCTTACCATGATATCTCCATTGATGTTATCGTAGCACACCCCGTGCACTAGTGGCACATATGGACAATAATTTTGAGGAATTCGATAATAGCTATTGTAATTCTCAAGATCAGTAAAAAAAGTGATAAGACCATCTTTCTCCTTATAAGTTAATTGTGCTTCATCATTGTAGTAGTAGGTTCTGTCTACCATCTTCCGTACATTTTTTGAAGAATGAAAATAAGCTGTCAATGGAAATAAGCTGTCAAATATTTTGAAATTAACAATATAAATTACTTAGTAAATATGTTTAAGAAACTCACACAGCGGTAGAACTGGAAGCGTGTCAACAAGGACCCAAATGGTCATATCATTTTTGTCGATGTCAGGATCACCAAGATCGAAGGTGAGAAGCTACCCTCATGAAAATCATACGCCTTGGAAAGGGCTTCCCAATTCGGGCAACCAAAATTGGATGAGTTCACAGAATTGTATAGTTTTACAGCAAAATCATAACTATGATTGGTCCTTAGTTGAATTATCTTTGTCTCCGTGCTTTCATGATCTTCAAAACACATCTTCTCCAAGACATAGCGTCTTGCATGGCATGTGATAAGCTAGTCGAATTGTAAAAGACGGAAATT